ACAATTTGGTGGCTTAAAACAACACACATGTATTCTTTTACAGTTCTAGAAGCCAGAAATCTGAAGTCGGAGTGTGCCATCTCCTTTCCAGGACCCTAACCGGTACATATGTCTTTTTTTGATATATTTGATTTGATTCGATTTTGATATAGTTGATTTGATTGATCCAAGTTCTAAATAAAATCCATAAGTTGCATTTGATTTTTATGTCTCTTAAATCTCTTTCAATTTAGAATAGTCTCCTCCCCATTCCCCCCAACCCCACCCCCGTGGTTGGTCTGTTAAAGGAACTGACTCAGTTGTTCTGTAGAATGTCCTTGTCCCACATTCTGGGTTTGACTGATTGCTTCATTTTGAAGTTCTTTAATTTATTCCTCTGTCCCCTATGTTTCCTACAAATTGGAGGTTAGAGCTAAACACTTGATTAGATACAGAATTGAATATAGTTTAAAGTAGAACTGACAGCCCTGGCCAGTTTGGCTCAGCAGTTAGAGTGTTGGTCTGTGGACTGAAGGGTCTCAGGTTCGATTCCCAGTCAAGGGCATGTGCCGGGGTTACAGGTTCGATCTCCGGCCCTGGTTGGGGTCATGCAGGAGGCAACCAATTGATATGCCTCTCTCACATCAATGTTTCTCTCTTTCTCTCTCCTTCCCTTCCTTCCACTCTAAACAAAAATCAATGAAAAAGTATCTTCGAGTGAGGATTAACAAAAAATAAAATAATGAAAAAGTAGAATTGACAGAATTTGCTAACCGAATGGGTGTGGGTGTGAGAGAAGAAGAGAGTCAACTTCAGCTTGCTCATTTGTTGATAATGTTGATAATAATCTCTTCCTACCTATCCTGCTTATTGATAATCTCAGAAGCAGTACTGCTATGCAACTGCTGCATGAACACACTAAAACCAGGCTGAGCTCAGCGCTCCTGGGTGTGAGCGAGGTGTCCTGGAGACTGTGGCCTCATGGGGGCTGGCTGATCCTGGAGGTCCCTTCTTGGTTTGATGTCTGTTCTCCTGGAGTGTGGTGGCTGGAGGATGGCTGACAAGGTGAAGCCAAATTTGGGACAGAGGATCTGGGTCTGGGAGCAGAGTGAGGGCTTTGGACATTTTGCCTGAAAGGTAAACTCCATGACCAGACCATGTCCTCTTGTGTCTCAGGGCACTCAAGGCTCAAGAGCCCTGTAAGGGAAGTGAGGAGGTGACTAAACTGGGCCTTTACAAAGTCCCTAACAGGAAACCTAGGGGGATTTGAGGAGCGTTTGGGAGCATGGAGCAGTTGTGGGTGAACGAATACGAAGAAGGAGATGACGCTGGGCAGGTGTGAGGGGTGATAGATGTGGGCACCTGAGTGTGCATGTGGGTCGAGGGACGAAAGAGTGAGAGTCTTTGTACGATACTATGTATTGAGAGTATGCGAGCATGCAAGCGTTATATGCATATGTGGTTTGAGTATGGGTGATGGGGCAGAGCTGGGGGAAGGGGCAGACTTTTGGCTCTAGTTTTTAGGGTTGCAGTAAATGTAAAGGTGTTTTGTTCTTAGAAATTTATTTTGGGCTTTGATAAGGAAAAGCAGTGAGTTCCCAGTCAGCAGGAGGAGGCTAGCCTAGATGCCCAGGGTGGAGCTGAGGCCGGACCCTGCATGGGGAGTCAGGAGTCTGTACTCCGGGCTCTGCTTTGCACCTGCCTCACTGTGGGACCCTGTCTTGTCCAGACCTGTTTACCTCTCTGTGTAGGAGGGTCCCGGATTGACTGGTACATGAGGGACTTGCTTCCTTAGACAGTGTCCACTACAGTGCTCAGCACTGAGGGTGTTCAATAAATGTTGGTTGAATAAAGGGGTGGTAAATAGACTAAAATCCAAGGCAGGGAGCTCTGGCCCATCCTTTACTTTTGTATACATGAAACCTCCACCTAACTCACTTTTCCATGCTCACTCACTGTGTCACACACATGGACATTCCCAAACTCACGTCAGTTGCCCATACCTGTTTACCTTCCCTGTCTCCCACTAACTCCTACGCTGCCAAACTCCTGCTCAAGTTATTATGACACTTCCTCCCCCTTCCCCACCCCCACCCTCACTCTAGGGCTGCAGCACTCTGTCCCAGGAGTTCCTTGGGTTTGGTGCTTCTCGGTCACCAGGGATGCACAGCCCAGTCAGTCCTCTGACACAGAAGCTCTTCTGAGCTCCTCCCTTCTCCTCCTCTTAATGTTCTAGCTGTCTCCCTTTCTTTCGTTTTTTCTCTGACGCCCATACAGACACACAGACACACACATATGCACACAGGCACACACTCACTGTCTGTCTCATTTTTTCTCTTTGAATGCTCTTGGTTTTTGTCCTTGTATCTCCTCATTCCTCTCATGTGTTCTCTCTGTGTTTACCTCTTTCTCCTTCTACTTCTCATTTCTTCCTGACTCCCTCTCTCACTCTGTTTCCTCGGTCACTCAGTTACTTATGTCTCCTCCTCTTCCTCACTTTCATGCTCAGTATCTCTCTCTCTCCTCTTGCTTTTCCTCTCTTGCATTTTTTCTCTCTTACCCCAGTTTCCTGGCACAGTGGCTGCTGCCTCCACCCCATGCTGCACTCTGCTCTGTGAGACACATCCGAGCGGTGTCCAGGGCCTGGGTGCCCCAACTTGGATGTTCCCGTGGCATCTATTGGAAGGGCCCTAGGGTCACAGCATTTCCTCCCCAGGGTGACTGGGCAGTGTCTTGCTCTGTGTCTTCACTTCTGCAATTTCCAGAAAACACAGAGACTGGGTCTGCAGACGGAGACACTCAGATCCTACAGCTACAGCCACTGACTCTGGTCCAGGTAAGGGGGGTCCCAGCCCTGGCTGGCAAGGGGGGACACATGCAAATGTCCTCAGGAGACTAAGGTCATGACCCTAGACTTCATCAAAGCAGATTGTGGTTCTGTTTTAAGGAACTGTTTTGGTATCTTCCTCAGGCCCCCGAGTCTCATATTTACAAAGAATTCCTCATGATCAAACTTTCCCAGGGAATCCAGCTCCCCTCTTTGGTTCTCTGAGGCCAAGGCTGTGCTGAAATGACCTTAGAGACCTCACTGTGAGGTAATGTAGTGGTGAGAGTGGGGCTACCTAGATCGTAGGGGGCTGAATGCCATGTACTTTACTAGCTGTATGATCTTGGCCAAGTTGAACCCTCTCTCTGTATCTCAGTTTTCTAAATTGTCAAACAAGGGTAGTACTGTCTCCCCAGCAGGATTGTTGGGAGAGCTACAGGCCTGGGTACTTAGGAACTCACTAGATGCCAAATTTCCCGACGTGGGGGGTGATGAAGATAACCAGGCTAGCCCTGGCTGTTTGGCTTAGCAGTTAGAGCATTGGCCTGTGGATCAAAGAGTCTTGAGTTTGATTCTGGTCAAGGGTACATACCTCACTTGCGGTTTGGTCCCTGGCCGTGGTCAGGGTCATATGGGAGACAACCAGTTGATGTGTCGCTCTTACACCCCCCTCCCCTTCCCCCTCCCCCTCCCCTCTCCTCCCCCTCCCCCCTCCCTCTCCCACTCTGACTGAAGATAAATGGGAAAAGTATCCAAGGGTGAGGATTAAAAAAAAGATAACCAGGCTATTGGTACAAAGGGCCCAGCCCACAACCAGTTTTCCCTATCAGGTCCCAGGTGGTAGGGACAGGGCACAGACTGGTAACCTCACCCCTGCCCCCATCTTTCTCTGGCATAAAGTGAACCAGGGCTGCTGTCCAGATACTTGCTTGCCTGGAAAGAAGGAGGGAACCTGCAGAATCTCTCTCTGGGCATTCAGGCAGCTCTGATTTAGCTGTGACTGAGTATGTGGCTGTGTTCCAGGTGCTTGGAGTGAGAGTGTGTGTGTGAGTGTGTGTGTGTGTGTGAGTGTGTGTGTGTGTGTGTGTGTTGTGTGTGTTGTGTGTTCTAAGGAAGCAAAAAGAAAAAAGAAAGAAAGAGATGTCCCTGCCTTTAGGTACTAAGAATGCAGCCAAGCAGAGATGTGTACCCTGGAGGTGAAGAAATGGCCCTGGGCCTGAGGTGGGGCACCCGGGTTTTGATTTCCTCTCCTGCTCACAAACTGAGACCTTGGGCAATGCAGGAGCCTCACTTTCCTTCTTTGCAGATTGCAGTTTAAAGTACTGATTTTGCCCTGACGGGTTTGGCTCAGCCTGAGGACCAAAGGGTCACTGGTTTGATTCCCACTCTATCTAAAAATCAGTGGAAAAATATCCTTGGGTGAGGATTAACAAAACAATGATAATAACAAAAAAACAACCACCTGACTTTGTGGGTTTATGAAAGATGAAGTAAGAGGCTGGGTGGGAAAGTGCATTGTTAAGCATAGGATGCTGCACAGATGTGAGCCAATGTGTACTACTAATACTAACTCTGATTCCCACTGCAGATGCCTTAAGGATGAAGTACTCTTTTTTTTTTTTTTTAAATCCTCACCCGAGGACATTTTTCCATTTTTTGTTCAGATAGATTGGGAGGGAGAGAAAAACATCGATGTGAAAGGGACACATCAAATGGCTGCCTCCTGCATGACCCAACCAGTGCCGGGGACAAATTGCAACAGAGGTACACACCTCTAGAGGGAACCGAACCCGGGTCTCTCTGGACCGCAGGCCGACGCTCTAACTGCTGAGCCAAACCAGTCAGGGCTGAAGTATTTGTTTTATTCATTGTTTTATCCTTACCCTAGCACAGGGTTTAGTGTCTAGTTTAATTTTTGAATATGCATTGAATAGGTGAATGATAAAGTAGTATGTTGTATTTGGAAGAGAATGAACAGTGAGCCAGAGGCCAAGCGTCTGGTCCCAGCTCGCCCCTGACACTATTGTCACCTTGGGTAATTCTGTTCTCTTCTCTGGACAGGTGGGGACATCTTTCCAAAAAAGTTTTGGGTAAGGAATTCAATCTATGGCATTCATGACAAAATGTGCCTTCAGGACTGAGTTGGTATTGGGGTGAGGTTGGGGGTGTGATGAGAGGTGGGATCCTGTCTGTTTGTCCTTTTTATAAGGAGACCTTTACAGAGAGGCCTCCTCCTCTCCAGGCCTGTGAACAAGGCCTTGTTGAGGAGAAGCAGGTGGTCCTCTTTTTCAGGGGCAGCCCTTTCTTCCCCATACTGGTTCCCCCTCCTTTCCCCAATGAGGAGGGCACAATAGCTGAGCTATAGCCTGGGAGCACGCCCTCACTGGGCCTGGGGGAGTGTGGGTTAGGAGTGGAGCCTATTCCCAGAAGAGCAAATGCTGGGCCCCCAGCGCTGTCACCTCTTACCAGCCACTATTCGGTTCCTTGGCAGCATGGTGGGAGGGGAAAGAAGACTCTGGTACATGCATGTGTTTCTGTGGTTGTGTAGGGAGTTGGCTCTGGCTATATCCACATGATGTACCTGGAGCATGTCCAATCTGCAAGTGGGCCTCATACAGCCCAGCAGTTCCTGGAAGCAGGATCATCAGTGTAACCAGCTGAGAGGGTAATAGCTATCTATCTGTTCCTTTCTTCCCTGTGTCTTCAGCCAAAAGGAATCCAGAGCCAGACTCTGTGTGTGTGTGTGTGTGTGTGTGTGTGTGTGTGTGTGTGAGAGAGAGAGAGAGAGAGAGAGAACATATATGGGAAGGGGAGAACTACCACTCAGCAGCCCCTCTCCACCCCCGTAGTTCTACAGGAGGGGGACCCTCAGGGCCTGGGTTTAGAGTTGGGCTCAGCTGGCTGATGGGAGAAGTATGCCAAAGACGTGTGCAGATGCCTTTAGTGTATAAAGTCCACTTCAATTTACCAAGTGTTTCAGTTTGCCAAACTTTTATCACTCCCCCAATCTTACTTCCTTTTCATGACAACACTTGAGGTGGGCGTGGCACCCCATTTTGCAGATAAAGATCCCAAGGCTCAGAGCTTGCTGGAGACTCACTCAAGATGGTGGGTGGGGCTGCTGAAGCCGCAGCCCAGATCCCCTGATCCCAATTTCTGCCATTTCTCTTCAGCTACCCCTAGTGGCTGTTTTCAAAAGGAGACCATGTGGTTGGTTTGGTGCATGACTGGTTTGTTTGCCTATTTATTCACTCATTCATTCAACAAACATATTTTTTTGAAGTGGGGAGAAGCGGAGAGGAACTCACAGCTATTGAGCAATAACTTTCTGCACAAATTGCTTCGTTCCCTCTTACAACTACCCGGTGAAGAAGGTTTTATTATGTTTTATTATCACTATGAAGAAAGAGAGGCTTTGAGAGCCAAACATCAGCTAGGAAAGAACAGAACCAGGTGCAGATCTGGGTCTGTGTGATCCCTCTTGGGCCACACCCTCTGTATCTGCGAGGGCACCAGGGGACTCAGGAGCTTCCAGGCTGGGAAGACACAGTGTGATTCCTGGTATCACAGAGGGTGTGCCTGGGTTGGGGAAACCCAGAAGAGGAAGTGCCTTCCAACTTCCTCCTGCCTGCCCTGCCTGACTTCCAGGAAGCAAGGAGAGGCAAGGCTGACTTAGATACCATCTGGGTATCTGGAAGCCAGAAGGAGAGACCTAGGCTAGGGTTAGGGCCCCTTAACACCACAAGGATGACCTAGTCCAACTGAGTAAAGACTGAGTCTCATCAATGTAATATATATACCTGGGGTCAGGATGGGCCCCAGTGAAAAGGAAAATTGGGAAATTCTGATACTTAGGCCACTCCCATCACTGGGGCCCCAGACCCTGACCCTGACCTCTCTCCATTCAAGGAGCTCTATTCATCCACCAATAAATATACCAGGCACAGTTCTAGAATCCTCGTACTGGAAACCGTGGGGAGCCCAGTGCAGAGTTCCTCAGAGGTTAGTATACTTGCTCCCTTAATTTGCCCCTCAAAGCCCTCTTCTTGGAGAAATCGCAGTGAATTCGCTCTACGAGAGGAACCTTCAGATAGTATGACCAGCATGGCCAAGCCAAGCCCAAATGCCAAGCAACAGGGGAGGTCAGAATAAGAGGTAACTCACTTATTGAGCATCTACTGTATGCCAAGTACTTTAGAGGTTTATCTGCCTTAATCTCAGGGCTATCTTGTGAGGTTGATGCTGATATTCCAATTTTACAGATGAGAAAACTTGAATTTACAGAAGGGAAATGATTAAACTGTGGTGTTTTAGTAGCCCCAGGGAATCTAAGACTGGGAGTAGCTGAGGCTGGTATGTGAGGGTTTGGAAGTGAAGGATGGGGACAGTGTGACTGTGTGTGTGTGTGTGTATTTAGTAACTACTTCTTGAGTGTTGATGCATAGGAGGCCCTGTACTGTTGAAATACCAGAAGCCTTGCACCCAGGGAAGTCTCAGTCCAGAAGGAAAGAGAAATCAACAGCCATATATGTTTTGTCTTATGGAGACCAGAGGCGGCACCTTGAACTCTGGGGTAGAAAACTAAGCCAACATTCACTGAGCTTATTATGGATCAGTCATTTTCTATTTAATCTTTATAACAACCCTACAAGGTAGGTAACATTATTACTTTTTTTTTTTCTTAACAGATGAGTAAGCAGAGAGGCTCATGGAGATTAAATTAATTGTCTTGGGCAAAAATTGGCTGATAGCATTTCGCCAACTGTCCCAGCTGCCGTAAAAGGATGTGACTGGTTCCAGGAAGCTTTTAGGGTTAATGACATAGCTGGAAGCCTGATACAAGTGGCTTCAAGCCAGGATGAGCTTGGTGTGAGCAGTCGCCATGATAGTGGCATACCATTTTGAGAAACATTTGATTTGGTCTAATTAGAAGATTGTCTGGATTTCCTGTAGGATAAACTTTTTAGAGCTGTTGATCATGAATTTCTTCACATAGGTTGCTCATGGAATCTTCACACCACTCTGGGGAGATATGTGCCTGGAATATTATCAGCTCCATTTACAGAGGAAGGGTCTGAGGCTCAGAGTGATGTGCTTGACCACAGTCATTAAGCTAGGATGGGACAGAGGCAGGATTTGCTTGACTCGAGTCTATGATCTTAACCATTGTCCTTTCCAAACACTATTATCTCCCTGGGTGCTCACAGAAGCTCTATAAAGTAGATTGTCCCCATTTTACAGATGAGGCTCAGAGAGGGGAAGCAATTTTCGAAAGGGTTGCATGGCTATGAAGTTATAGAGCTGAGCCATATAATTCCAAGTTAAAAATATAAAGTGTACTTGCAAATCTGCCATCTCTTGGGCCGGCTTTTAAAACTTATTTATTTTAGCCCAGCTGGTGTGGCTTAGGGGTTGAGCATCGACCTATGCACCAGGAGGTCCCCGGTTTGATTCCCAGTCAGGGCACATGCACGGGTTGGGGGCTTTATCCCCGGTGGGGAGCATGCAGGAGGCAGCCGATCAATGTTTCCCTCATCATCGATATTTCTGTCTCTCTTGCCTCTCCCTAAAACAATAAAAACATATTTTTAAAAAACTTATTTATTTTATTGTGGTAAAAACACATAAGATAAATTGATTCTCTTAAGAATTTTAAGTGTACACTACATTATTAATTGCGTACACATCATTGTACGACAGGTCTCTGAAACATTTTCATCTTGCATGACTGAAACTCTGTACCCATTGAACAACAACTCCCTGTTTCTTCCTTTCCCCAGACCCCCAGAACCACCATTTTACTTTCTGTTTCTATGAGTTTGATTACTTTAGATACCTCATATAGGTGTGATCATTTCATATTAGTATTTGTCTTTTTTTTTTTTTTTGCTTTATTGATTTTAGAGAGAGAGGAAAGGAGAGGGAGAGAGATAGAAACACTGATGAAAGAGAACATCGATTGGCTGCCTCCTACATGTCCCCCACCGGGGATTTGGCCCACAACCTGGGCATATGCCCTGACTGGGAATCGCAACTGCGACATCTTGGTGCATGGGTCAATGTTCAACCACTGAGCCACACTGGCCAGGCAGTATTTATCTTTTAGTAATTGGCTTATTTTACTTAATAACATCTTCAAGTTTTACTCATGTTGTAGTGTGCCACAGGATTTCCTTTCTTCTAAAGACTGCAGAGTAGCCCAGCCGGTGGCCACTTTACATACTTATCTTTAGAACTAATGTTAGGACTGTAAGATTTTGCAAATGAAGAAACTGAGGCTCAGAGAAGTGAATACACTTGCCTACAGTCACACAGCAAATAAATGGCAGAGCCAGGTATGAACCCAGGTCTTTCTGACTCCAGAGGCCTTGTTCTCTCTACCCTACTATGCCTTCCCCAGAGAGACTGGATACTTCTCCTTCCTGCCCATTTCCTCTGAATAGTCATCTGGGGCTTAGTCATTCATTCAGTCATTCAGTACCCAGTGTCAAACAATAGGCACAAAGAGATGAAAAAGAACTAATCTCTGCTCTCAAGAAGCTCCCAGTCTGGCAAGAAAATGGCCACAGAAATCAATACTTACAAGTATCGTGTCAGGTGCTATACTGAGGAATGTGCCGGGTATCATGGTGACTCAGAGAGGAAGGCAAGTAATTCTGCCTGGGGCAATCAGGGAAGGCAGCCAAGGAAAGCACTCCTTAAAGAATGAGTAAGATTTTGCTAGGTAAAGCAACAGGCAAAAGACACGCTCAGTAGGGGCTGCAGCATGTGCAAAGACAGAGAGGTTTGGAGAGAAATAGAGTTTTTATAGAAGCAGCAGGAAGTTCAGTATGGCTGGAGTAGAGAGCTAGTAGCAGTAGAGGCTGGTGGAAGATGAGGTGGGAAAGGAGCTTGGACTTGATTTTGGGCAGTGGGGAGCCATGGAAAGTGTTAGATCAGGCAGGTATGTGGCTGACAGTGTGTTGAGGCACAGCACTTCTCAAGTTTCAGTGTGCGCACGAATCACCTGGGAATCTTGTTTAAAGACAGATTGATACAACAGGCCTGGGGTGGAGTTGGAGATTCTGCATGTCTAACAAACTTACAGGTGATGCTGATGTTTCTGGTCCAAGGACCCAGTTTGAGTCATGAGGTTGTGGAGGGTTCACTCTGCCTTGTGTGGAGGTTGCTGTGGGGAGCAGACAGCCTTTGGTGCTCTTATGTCACTGGATAGATCAGGCCTCTACCATTTTCTTGGATGAGCCTTCTCGCAACTCACAAAGAGGTCAGTCTTATCAGTTGTTAGATATTTGTTCACTCGACAAATGTGTATCAAGCTCCTGTGCTGGCTAAGCTTGTGCTGGATTTTGGTGATAAAGAGAAAAACTGGAACTGCCACTTTCTGGTCCATGTCACTGCCAAAATGGTCTTTTTTCTTCCACTCTTGTCCCCTACCATCTATTCTCTTCCCAGCATCCAGAGTGAGTCAGATCATGTTTTTCCCCTGCTTGACATACTCCAGTGGCTCTGTGATGTTTAAAGAATAAAATCTGAGCTCCTTATCATGGCGATCTGGGGCCTGTTGCTTTCTGATCTCATCCCACTCTTCTCATTTCTCACATCTCTAGGGTCACACTGACCTTTCAGTTCCTTCAACACGACAACTTTATTTCTATCTCGGAATCT